TATTTTTTTTCTCGGTTTTTTAGTGACAATTGGTTATGGCATAATATAATATTTAGCATGTATGAGATTATGGCGCACTTTGATTATGAGCAAGGACTCGGGCGTTTTGTTCAAAGATAAAAACTGTGTACAGGTTCACTACCGAATATTATACAAACAAATCTTAATTATACTTAGACCCTTTGACCAATGTCTGCAAGCGTTTACAATCTACATGATAGAGGAAAAAATGTAGAACACAAAGCTAGATAACAATACTACCGGGTTACACTACACGTCTAACTTCTTCCAGCAATTTAACAACGGATTCTTCTTATTATTAACAGAATATTTAAGTTATGTCCTTAACCCATGGTATAGCTAAATATAGTTATTATTTTAAGGATACACAGCAATCAATATATATATATATATATATATATATATATATATATATATTAACCTATATGGTTTGTTGCGTCTCAATACAATATGTGCAAAATATCGAATTAACAAGGAAAACCTATGATACTCGAGTAGATATATTTTTATTTATTTGTAAAATACACAGGTAGTACTAGCTAATATGCAATAAAGTTACTAATACTGTTAATATATTGAAAAATAACTGGAAATCGTCACTGGCGAACTTTGTAAGATGTGAAAACATAGATTTGAGTTTAGAAATACAAATTTATTCTTGAATATACTGAAAATCGTGTTTAAATTAATTGAATCAAAACATGATTTATCTTATTTTTAATCAGATATATATAAAAAAAAATTAAAATATTTTAAAACTTTTTTTTTATTCGGATTTGCTTAACTCTAAAATGTTATCAATCACTTGTACCTATAATCTCTTAGACTACTGTCAAAGCCGCAGCTTTAGCGTAGTGTCACGTGTTTTCTGTTAGACCTGGATAATGAGGTATATACAACTCTATGTTGAAGCAAATTAAATTAAAACTTACACATGGTTTGACTCATTAGCTGAAAGCAAAACCATTAAATTATATATATACATTAATATACAGTGATAGAGTATGAGAGAAAAATTTCTTATTATATTATTTCAAAAGGAATATATATTTATATAAATAAGAAGAATTTTAACACGACATAAAAATTGTCATACATCGATAAGATAATTAAATAGTTAGCATATATAATTAAAATAAAATATAATAAATTATATTGAATCATATGAAACATTACATATAAATATTCAAATTATCTATGTTATTAGATTTAGAAAATCTAATGAACGTGTTTAAAATAAAATGGTAACAATGCCATCGATATTATTTAATTATTAGTAATACAATTTTGAATCAATATGTAAATTACATATATACATTTATAGTATTAAAAAGGCATTTATATTATTACTACAGAGTATAATGGTTTTCTGTAATAAAAATATATTTATATACTTTGTAAATATCTTTTTTGACTTTAAACATGAAATGTATCTATTGTAAAATTTGTATTATCAAATGTATTGAATCTCGTTATGTTTTGAAACTTGAAACCGTATCCCTGAAAATTAGTTAAAAGCTATTGAAATAAAATTATTTTCACATAAATAGATACGAAACAGGTGTTAAGCACGAACATGGTATCTAAAAAATATTGAAATGCAATTTGGGAATACTGCTTTAAATTATTGAACGAAAAATGTTAATATATGCCCTTGGAATTTTATATAAAATCAGCAATATCATAAGTTGTAACAAGTGTTTGCATGTTATATAAGAAAGAAAAGGTGAAAATGGTGGATTTAGAATAAATTTATGTTCTTTCTTTTCTGTTATTGTGTGAAAATATACTTTTACTTGCAAGTTCTCTACTATATTTTGATAATGATTACCATTTCTCCTCATTTATCTATGCATTTTAAATATAGTTAATAATGTGAATGGCAAAATATTTAAAAGATAATGTAAATTAAAATTTAATATCTAAAAAATGTAAAAAAAAAATTTAATACTTTTTATAAATTGTTTGCGTTTAGATATTCATGTCTTTATAATTAATTTTAAATTTACCGACTAATATTAAAAATAAAAAAATAAATATGACTTTAAAATTGTATTATTATCTAAAATGTAGCTAATTGTCATACGAAACAACTATTTAAATAAAATCAACTACAAAAATTCAAAATTGTATTATTATTTTTTTTTTCTATGCCATAATTTGATAGTGTGTAATATTGTTCTTAGTGTAATAAAGTTTAGTATAGTTCTTCGTGTTTTAGTTTTAGTGAGGTCGAATTGAGGTATTTTATCGTCAATAAAGTGTCCAACGGCCGCATCTTTTGTGGTGGATGTCGAAACACCATCGTTCACTTCTTGTTCTGTTAGTTTTCGTGTGCACAATATAAATGTTTATTAGTAAAGTACAAATTACATAGTTCATATTTGAAGCATGTGATTTTAAGTAAACTACTATTAAATCGTACTTTTTACCAATTTTAAATTTATTAAAAAGTCAATATAAAATATTCAGTTATTTTGATTCCTTATAAAAAAAATTTAAAAAAAATGAATTCTACAAAATTATACTAAATATTTGAATCACTATGAAATATCAATCATTCCCACCAGAAAGTATATTTTTTTTACAATAGACCAAAATAACTGCTTCGTAATTTATAAAAAAATATTGTTTGCACACCAAAACATTTTATATTTTCCTTATAGAAAATCAATTAGGTCATAAAACAATTCAATATAATTATTTAATTCTTTTATTTCTTCGCATATTTAATTTCAAAGTTTTTGTTGTAAGGTTATAATAGGAACTTAATCTGTTGCATTATAATATCTTAAGAATATTCAGTGTTTAATAAGTAAAAATTACAAAACTTTTTTCTGATAGAATACCAATAATAATTAATACAACCACTCTGTGAATAACACTCTACAATAACGATGTTCTTGATAAGTTTTATTTTATGTTTAAAATTTTACGTAATACTTAGTTGTCATTTGTAAACTATATAATATTGCAAACTAATATGTAATTATAGGTTATTTTTATAGTTTGAAAAAAGTTTTAAACTTATGGAAATGTCTTTAAAACTATAAGACGATAATGACTAAAATATGTTTTGAGATTTATTTTTAATTTTATCGATTATATAAATGTCAGTATTGTGTTATTCCTGTCATTATATAAGTAAAACTTAATTATTTTTGGCGTTGAATCATTTTTAATTTTTTTTTCTTAGGACCTTCAAGAATTGTGGACCATAACGTTGAGGTAAAGGGTTTTTATAAAAAAAAAAAAAAACATTTATTTTCAAAAGCTTTGAACTCAAGATAACGCGAGATAGAATTTACGATGTTTAACGACGAATATATATGACATATGACAAGATTATATGATATTATCTGCAGGAGCACATGAAGGGAAGAAAATTCTTAATGTACTTAGGTTTCCCCTTTACACTATTCAAAACAATTTGTACGAATAAGCACTGGCAATATTTTTTGAGTCGAAAACATTAAGATAATATAAGTCATGCTGTAATAAAGTGATTATTGCGTCGGTAATACTAATTCATTAGTAATAACTAGAGCGGAAGATCTTTTACGAAAAAGCGAAATAAATATTTGCATTATTTACATAAGAAATGTATTTAACGAACAGTTAAAGTGGTAAAAAGTTAATTCGATTAGAGCTCGAGTGCTTTTCGGTGTCCGTATCGGTGTTATAATTAATATTATCGTAGCTCATCGCGTATTAAGCGACGTTACAAACAATCGGATTTAGACGGCTAATTAGGTTGCTGAATGATGATTTATGGGTGGGAAACCCTTTATCACGTGCTATTCGATCTCTGCACCTGTACTTCGAATAAGCATCGCCAGTAGAGGTTCACGCACCCCTTGTTGAGGAAAACCCCGTACGGGTTGTAGCGCGATACGATAGGGCATGAACGCGCGACGGGGGCGTGTGACGGGGGCGCGGTGGCGCGTGATGCGTTTTGATAATTAAATTTCTTGTCATCGGAGAAATCGCGTTATAATAATATTTCGTCCGAGTGCCGCGCGAACGCTTTCGTGTAGCCCCGGTGACCGGTGGTTGGGTCAGGGGTGGTCGCGGACCGCGTGACCTGGGTGGACCTCGACGGACGAGTGGGCGCGTTTGTCCGCGACGAGGAAGCGAACTTTTACGGTGTTTTAATGTTATTATTATGGTCGCGTGACGCCCGTGGTCATTTTCTGGTGCCGTTCGCGGAGTATTTCCGCGGTTAGGGCTCGAGCAGATCTGACGCTCAGTGGCGGACGAATCGTGACTAGTACGCGTGGACGGAACGCACGTATGCACGCACACCGGAACGTAGCGTACACGCAGTTGCATGCCCACGTGCGAACAAATTTCACGAGAACAGAAATTTTTTCAAATGTTCTCTCTCTACGCGCACGCACCAGCGGCATAATTACGAGGGAGGGAACAAGAGGATCAATCCTCCCCCCATAGGCTGTATACGTGCAAATAATTATAGTCATCATATTTTTTAAAATATTATATATATATATATTTTATATCAATAATTGATTGCATTTGTATGAATTAAAATGTTATAATACATTGGATAATATTCTCATCAGTATCGATGGTCACCGGTCTGCGGTCAGTGATTATCACATCGGGTTTATGCGGTCCGTATTATCATAGAACAAGAACGTATTATCGTCGTTTTGGTATATCCATTCTTATATTATTTATGGGTACGGCGGATATAGATACTATAATATCTGATTACCATAGTTTAAAATATATTTTACTATTTATGAAACCTAGGGGTTGAGGGAGGCGTAGCCCCCTTCAAGTTTGTAATAACTGTATAAAGCCATATCTCCCTCCCCACTCATGACAAAAACCTAAATACGCCACCGGTACGTACACAAGCACGCGCGCACGCACCTACACACCGCACGTATGCGCGCGCGCGGATAGGGGCACACGTTTGGCTTACAACGCGCGTCAGTCCTCGTTCGTACGCCGCCGTTCGACGACCGTTTTTTCCCCCGCGGCGGTGTCCGTCGGTTGAACCTCCGCGGCGCGAGTTTCGTTTCGGTCCGGTTATATTTTCGCATTCGTTTCCTTGGCGAACGGGTGTTTCGATTTAACACGTTTGCGGTTGCACCGGATAGATAGAAATGTCCACACGCCTTACCGATGGTTAAAATGTTATTATGCGATCGTGTGCGGATCGTGAAACGAAGAGAATTCGGTTTAGTGCGTGCGATTGGTCCGACGACGGAAGGATAGTCAGACGGTCGACGTCTTCGTATTGCATCCGGTAAGTGTCGAATGATGAACGGCATTCTGAAAATGAATATTATGAAGCTTATTTTGAATATTTTCAATGAAAAATTGTTTTAGTTTTTTTTTTTTTTTGCAATCACGACTTTTTGACTTTTTAATAAGTATATTTTATTAAATTATTAACATGAAATATTAGTTATCATCGGTATTGTTCAGTCAATTTATTTTTTTTTTGTTTTGATTATACTATATACATTATATATTGTTTAACATGATAATATTATTATTAATAAGTACCTCTCAAATAATAGCCAGTTCAATCGTGTTAAAACAATATGATTTCGTGTTAAAATTACGAACCAACTTTAATACTGTATACCAATAAACTAATCAACTTTACAGATGTTTTATTTATCATCAGTCTTATAAAGCTACTCGAAACAAAAACATTTTTAAAGCCATTATTATTAAAAGTATTGTTTCTATACAACTAAATGTATAAGAATTTATATATAAATGATACTATATTTAGTAGAAATTTTCAATCACATATAAAATTATCAATCAAACGTTAGATCACAATAACATTTAAAATATTATTTAAAAAAAACCATTGTTATAGAATATTTTAGAAATAATAAAATAATAATGATAGAATAATTGAGTTATAATTATATTTTCTATTCAATGAACACTTTGATTTCAAAAATTTACTTTTGAAATAAATACTTCATGCAGTTATCTGGATGTGATAATGTGATATTTTATTAATATTGAGTACATAATTCAAGACAATAATTATAACTAATTTTTGAGTCAAATTATATAATTTAGTATTATACGTTTTGTAATTTTTGTAAATATATAAATAAATAAAAATATTTTATGTATTGAAATAAATAAATAAAAGCTTAGCCTAGATTATTATTATATTTGTAACGTTTGACCGGTTTAAAATTAAAAATTAAGCAATACATACAGCATACACAAAGTCAATAAAGTCGCGACTCGATAGTTTTTATGTTTTCTCACCGTGTAAAATTTTAATTTTTTAGTTTTGCAACTGATATAAAATAAATAAAAGTCAATGTATAACACGCATTAATAGTTTTAAACAGGGTGAGATTGAATTTTTTTTTTATATATTTATATGTTTGAAATTGTTAAAACTCATCAAATGATTTGATTGGATTTCATTTCGTTAAAGTTCTTTATACTTTTTTGATAATGAAAAATTCTTAGAACATTGATTTTTACAAAACTATACATATTTATTTAATATAATTTTTTTTTTTTTTTGATTTATAAAATATTTCTAAACAATATAAAAAAAAATTTAAAAAAAAGACAAATTGTGAAGCCTGTATTTGTTTGTTTTTTTAAAGTTAATATATGTAAACTCATGTTTAAAAAAATATAAATTATACTATATTTTGAAACACTTAATAAATCACAGTTATCATAATCAGAAAATACATGAATTAGGCCAAGAAAAACATAAAAATATGTAATAAAGGGAGTATAAAATATTGATTGTTTTAATGATCTGACGTATTAGGTAGGCAATATTAGTACATTCACGTATAGGAGACCATCTAAAGTATTATGAGTAGTGTTGATTGTTAAAACCTAATTTTCAACGAAATACAACCAATATTGTTTGTAACAGATGCATGATTAATAGTAATAATAATAACATGAAGCAGTATACTATATGTGTTTTGTATACAAATTTGAAACGTAAAATTCGTTAAAATAATGCCAAACTGTGATTTTATACCATATTAATATTCTGATTTATCCGATCTATAGTTTATGAATTTTCACTTCAGTCAGTCGAATTAAAACTTGAATATTATAATGGAATATCAACTCCTGGGTCGATAATAGTTATTTAATAAATCAATACAAGCTTAATAGTATGACACAAAATACGTGAATGGGCGTCGAAGTCCATTGAGCACTGATGGTGCTAATGGTGATGTGTAGCTAAAAATTATTTTTATTCCAAAGAACTGTGAAATGAATATTTTGTTACATCAAAACCTGGCGTATCCGAACGTACGTAATATTATTATTCATTCCACTATATTTTCCTCTTGATATTCGAATTATTATTTTTTTTTTTTTTTTTTATAAATTTTTTTTGTACTTTTTCACACGGTAAAAAAATATTGAGCAATCGTGGAATAGGTATTGTTCTAATTGTACGAAAACTTTATCGAACACGTAAACAAACTTATTTGTTCAGGAGTCTGAGGCAAAATAAAATAAATTGTATACATGTTTGAAAGTATGTTTTTATGCGTACAGTATTCCGAAATGTGTAATCGATGCTAAAATAGTTTATACAGGGTTTTTGCGGAACATTGAATCAATAGTGTGTATAAACACAGTTCAGGAAACCATAGTGGCCTACTGGAGAAAAATTATCTATACACGTTACATCTCTGTTTTGTATTATTATTAAAATTAATATATATATATACATAGTTTTTTAAATCTTTGAGGCTCAGTTCTATTTTATGTATGCGAAACTATTAGCAGTTTTATTGAAATGATGTACTATGTGGACTTTAAGAAACAAAAATTTATAATCGTTAATCACCCCTCAGACGTGTAGGGTTTTGATCTAGAGTAGAGCGTAAATAAAATTTAAGAAGAAAAGAAAAAGGTTCTCTAAACAATTACATATTTCGTTCATCTTTGTCTGGAAATGGTATTAATAAAATGATGATTGACGTTTCGCACTTTAGAAAATTAATAATTGTTGTTTAAAACCAAATCATTGGGGGATGTTTAAAATTCAACAATTTTGAAAAATTAAAAAAAAAAACTAAAACTATGTACACGATAAATTTTAAATCAAAATGTCTTCTAATCTATAATATCACTAAAAAGAAATCTATTGTATTGTTGATGTCTCGCGAAATATAATAATGTTAAGAGGAAAATGTATTTTATCGTTTGATTATTAGCTTTGATATAATATGTCATTATAAAGTTTAATTGACGATAATTCGTTCAGTCGATATATTTTACAATAACAATGATTTTTTGCTGTATTTTAATATATTGATGAAAAAGATACAGGAGAAAATATTTTAAAACTAATATAATAACTAATATTATCGTTTGTTTACAAAATATTCAAAAGTGTATGGTCGAAATTAGCAGCACGTATTTGTGCACAAATTGAACTGTTTTCAAATATCGATAAGCCAGTACGTGGCCAACACCGTGATTCTTTCCTGTTTTTTTATTTTATAATTATATATGTTAATTATGCTAGAAAAAACCAACCAAGCACACAAGTGGGTGCGTATAAAAATGTAAAAAACTATTTCTGGTTAAAAATCTGTAGCTGAAAAAATTAATCAAAATCTAGTTCTTTCTTACCTCCCCGCTCAAGCGTATGGTCAGTAGGCCATAAAAAAATATTTTGGAATAAAAAGTTCGTGTTTTAAAAATACGATAAAGTACCAACAATATTGGACACAAAAATACGGACTAAATAAAATAAAATGTATTGAAAATATGTTTATGTATAATAATAATTACTAATTACTTTGGTAAAATGGAATAAAAAAATTAAATAGTTATTTATCGTTATATAAATTTGAATCATATCTATGGTAAACTCGAATACTCGTGTTGGGTATGTGTGTGGCAGAGAGTGCTCGTGTTTCTAGTCCATATGGGAATAATTTAGTTGGTTGGCATTATTTTATTTATAATTGATTATATTATACATATATATATAAACTGATCTTCCCAGTTTTTCTGGGATTAATTTATTAATTTTAATTATTTTAATTATTGTTTTTACTAAAAAAAAGTAGGATATTTTTATTTTTTATTTTTTAATGAGTTTTTAATATGCATTTTATAATATATCAACAATTATCAATTATTATAATTGACAATCAGTCGTGTAAACTTATGAAAATCATACTTCTAGATTTGGGAACCGGACTGAATAATAAAATTAATTGTTTACGTAATTATACATATATTGTTACTTGAAAGAGCATTGATGATAGAAAAGTTGATACTAAAAATAAATAACAAAAACTTTCAGTGAGTTCTTTGAGGAGGGAGTGATGAAAAATTTAGAAGCAGATGTTGAAAGTCTCAGTCACCCCTACCCCCTCCTCTCATGGTTAGGTAGAAAGCAATACAAGCTACTGTTGAGTTCCGTTCTAAATAAGTAGTGTGGTAGTAAGCTGCGACCAGAAATTTGACGTGAATCTCGTGGCAGTCTTTATCACAATGGCTGTCGACGATTACGTCTATATTTTCAACGATCAGTCCACGGAGTGGGCCATCAACGTGAAACCCAGTTTCCCTTGTCCATCGTCAGAGGTGGACCTGTAACGGCTGCGAGGACGTCTGAACAGTGGCGTAGAAAAACTCATTAGCGCCCTTGGCCAACTTGGAAAAAAGCGGTTTTTAACCAATCGAAATTTGATGTTACAATATTTTTTTTAAATATACAATTTATACTTAAAATTAATTATTACAGTGTTAATTGTAAACTTTGAAAATTTGCTTTTCTCACCTTATGACTAGCAAATTCATTGATAATTTCTTCATATTAAATTTTTTTATTTAAATGATCTTGTGCTTTTTTCACAATTTCATCATACAATTCACACGTATTGTGTACAAATAAAAAACATCTACATATTTCAAAAAGTATGCTGGAAAAATTTCGATTTGATTGTAATATAAAAATATGACTTTTGTACAGTTTTGCGCTTCTTTACAATTCGTGCTCCTGGCGTAGGCATAGTTCGTCATAATCTTGCTACGCCACTGCGTCTGAGAAGAACCGCCACCAAGTGTACCGTGTGCATGTTCTGCAATTGGAAAACCACGACCTCACGCTATAGACTATCCGCCAAAAACCATAAATATCCATAATAGATTTCTATGATAGAAACCTCGGATAATCAATAGGCATTAGCATCAACGACCCAAAATAATGGTACACTTGGCATTATATTTTAATTATGGCTTCAAAATTACGTT